CTGTTGCTTACATTCACTTAAATGGTCCAGCTGAAATTTTACCATTACCATACTAAATTACCTACCTATCTCACAATAGACGAAAAAAGGTGCACACCACACCTCCAATGGTGCTTGTTTTAGAGCGTATTTTTCAAAATAGGAAAAGTATCTAACTATTGTGGAGACACTTGGTCCGTTCTCAATCATACATTTTACCAGAGAGTGCCATGGATTTAAAATTTGGGTAGAAGAGGACTTATGCTAATGGTTCATGCACGACCAAATATCTTCGTGCGTCTGTTCTGCCAGACCTGTGAAGCTAATTCATTATGTTTCGGACATTTCAATAAAACTAGGAACTAGGAAAATGTACTTTGTCATATTTTAATGTTTACAGATTCAAATACATTCACTTACACGAAATTTGACAAATAAAATTCATTTGGTTAAACTTCCGACTAAAAAAATTGTTTTTATGCATTATTGGGCCATTCGTTTCGCTTCATAGTTTGTTAAAGAATTGGTCATTAGTCCTCCAAATTGTTTGGTTTGACTGTTTATGAATTCAAAACAATTTAATTCGCCTCAAATTAATTTCATAGATCTCAATGAATCTGTTGCCTGTTTTGCTTCGTAGGGATGTTACAAAAGTAAATTTGATACAATTCAATTTCTTGTTCGTCCATTTGTTGCGTCGTATTATGAAACCCGTTCGCATTTTTTTATGTTTTTCCATATTGAATCGTGAAAAGAGAAAAAAAAGTGTTGTTTAATGATCTGTATTGTATATCTACTCGAAAAAAAGATGAAAGTAGCGGTTTGTCGTTTTGCAATTTGTTAAAGTCAAAGTTACATTAGCGAAAATGGTAAGCGTAGCGAACCAAGAATAATTAAGAACATGTGCTTCGCGCACATCTATAAATGGTCATTAACCAATTAATCACGTTACAAATAGTTATTGGTGATTAGGCCTTTTAAATGCCCGGTCATTAAGTAAGTATGCGAATTAGCTTAGTGTTTTAATTATCCTCTATTAATTATCGGCCTCAGAAGTGGTTGACCGAAAAGGTGTTTCGGAGCGTTGTATCACCGAAAGATCTTTGTGTGTGAATTTATAAAATCTGTCGTGGTCAACATCGGCAACGATAGCATTGACCTGCTGAAAGGGATATCCTCTAACTGTATCGTGAGCCGTATTCTTGTAAATCCTATCAGCTGCTTTAGATGTAACGTTTGTCACGATTTTATGTAACTTTTTTTTCTTTCCTAGTTACTCAATACCTAACAGATAAATTTTTAACATAAAACTACACTGTACTGATATGTCATGGGAAAAGTTGAGATCTATATCGTATATAATTTCCTGAAGAAAATGCGCTCTCTCCCAAACCGACAATCATGAGTTTGTTTTAATTATGATCTGATGAAATTACTATGAGAAGATAGTTATTTCATTTGCAACGAATTACTTTTGTTTTCATTCAAATAATTACGTCACGATGACACTCGTTCATCAACATATAAGGTAATATGTTACCTTTTACTATTTTTATGTAAGAGCACCTGTGATTTTACTTTTCCTTCAAAACATTTATGTCAGTTGCTTATGAAGGATGCACAATGTGTATCCATTCTAAGTCACGTTTGACTACATTCGCAGCGTGCAATTGCGTATTCTCCGATGTATTAAGAATATTCTGAACTATATAGTCATTTTTTCAAATTTTTTTTCTTTTGAATAGCATCCCCCAGCTACGTTTAGCGGACAAAGACAATACAGTGTAAAGGTAATTTAAAATATTCCTTGAACAAAAGAACTTGCCAACTGGCGCAGCTTATCATTTATTTTCATACATACATACATGGAAGCTGTTGTAAATGTTTATCCGCATTGGACGAATGGGCGATTTTTGATACTTACACCATTCCATTAAAAAAATTCTGATATATTAAAGAAATGGAGTCTAGCAGCCACCCCCTCTTGCACTTGGTCATTTGTATATAAGATTTTATCTGATAGCTCGCTCTTCAGGTTAATGTTTCTACCGGTTTAATCCAATTACATTTGGGATATCCTTTTGGCGCAAGTTAACCTTAGTATTCCCATGTTTTTCACACTAAGAATTAAGAATTTGAAATATGCACTGCTGACTTGTGAAATTTGATGCTGGCCTACCACCGGAAATTTTTATGCGACAACCCGACCTATCTTTCATATTTGACCATATTTATAATTTGTTTAGTTCACGTCACCAACACTATGAAGAAGGTCATTATTTACGCAATTCATGCAAAATCAATATAAGTGACTAATAGAGTCTCTTGCTCTGGAATTTTTCCTGTAAAACATGGAATAGTATATTAAGATACAAGTGTATAATCAAGTCTTTAAAGCACGCGCAACGAGTTTAAGGGCACGACGCAGTGCCTTTAACGTTGCAAGTGCTTTAAAGACCAATTATACACGTGTATCTTATAGTATTTTTTATTATACCTGCAGTATGATTTAAAAATAGGAAATACAATGAAGTCATATTGAAGTTATACTCAAATATACATGTCTAATTAAGTGGGCTGGGTGTTCGTAATTTCACGATTGCCATGGAAATGTCACTTGACGTTGCTTATAAAAATCATCGTCTTTGTGAATTAAACGATTTCCGTTGAAAAAGATAATACACCGTCCATTAAATCGATTGTTGTAAAATCTAAACAAACGTTGGTAGGTGTAAAATCCAACTCCAGTAAAGCCTATTATAAAGAATATGAAAAGTTGTTTCCATGGATGAATAGGAAGTTAACAATAAGCCAATAGAAATGTTCTGGTGCATTCATTCAAAACTTTAGCAAAGTGGAACAGATTTGGAAGCCTAAATTACGAGGATTTTTTATTTCATAAGAGGATTTTTTATTTCATCCAGATGACAGTTTCAAAAGTCATGCTTGAAGTATCGTTACTTAGCAACTTTAAAGCACGTGTGTTTTAAAGGCCCTTTTTCGCAGGCATTTGAGTGTTTAAAACGGAGATTGTGATTCAGGTATAATAAAAACTATATTATTTATAATATGGAAGTAAGGTGAATACGTATAAAATCCCGGAGGTGATAATGCAATGGCATAGGGACACGAAGTGAATTATTATTATTTTCCGGAAATCACCATGAAACCATCATGTTTATACCTGATGCTTCACATTAGAAAATTTTAGTTTCCATGACAGTGGTAGTAACTCTTTTCCTGCCTCCTATCACTTTACCAGTCTCCTTTTCCTATCGTCTGACGACAGATGACAATTAAATTTTTACGGAATACAAAAAGAACGAACTAAGTATATTGAAAATTGTAAGGTCCCTGATCGACAAAGGACGAACAGAGAAACGGGCTTCGTTGGAAAATGCGCTAAAAAGTATAAAACCGAGTATATGAAAGCCTAATATTCCTGGGGATACAAAAATTTCGCCTATCGGAACATCGAAATAGAACCCAATAAGTCATGTATGTGTAACTTCATGTTTAGTTCAACGAGACCACTTTTCTTTTAAACTCGTCAAAGATTTTTCTGGGGCCCTTAGGAAATTACCCAGGGTTAGCTTGATCAAGTAAATTTTACTGATTTCTAAGAGATTCTTTGTGCATTTTTACAGATTTTTTAAGAGCTCAAATAAGATATTCTTTACTATTACTCTAACCACCAAGTTATTCTTCATTGATTGATACATTGATTATCAGAAACAGAAAGGTTTGGCGTTTTGTTACACCCAAATTAAAAAAAAAACGTTTAAAAATCATCTTAAAAACCTCTGGATAAGAATCTCCATAGAATCTCTTAGGACACCTTATGTCTCTGTGACGTATCTCAGGGCAAGTTCTAAACAGAATCTGCTGTGAATCAATACACATCCAATGAAGTATATTTTTGCATTATATATATTTAGAAACATTTCCAAGAGACCTATATAGGGTTACCAGTCACAACACCATACAATAAATTGTGGCGAAAGTTTTAAAATTCTTAAAGACAGTGAATGGAAACAACATTCAACAATGTAATTTTTGGCCTAATACCCATTAATAATAATAATAACTTTATTAGATCATAAACCAGAGTAATGTGGCATTGATCAAGTCAGTAAAAAGAACATAATTTTAGTATGTATATAACAAACATGTACAGGATTGCCAAATAAATTAACGGATACATGTACTTAATGTTATAGATATATAAACCAAAAAGTGAACAAAAACTTTAAGGCAGAATGCTTCAAATTCTCCCAGGGAATAGAAACAGTTATTTATTATAACGCTTTTTAGCTCTCGCTTAAATTTAACAGCTGTTTCGCAAATTTTTACGCTTGCTGGGAGTTTGTAAAAAAGACAAATCCCTGTATTAAAGGGCGATTTTTTGCAATGTGAACGTGAACTTCCATGCCATACTCTGAAGTTGGTTATAACTTGACATTCAAAAATCTGTTGTTTAAAAACATTTCGAATTAAATGACACATTATTATGGCCACAGTATGAATATTTCATATCGTCTTCAATTTTTTTTTAACATGAAAGCCTTTTGAGAGAACAACGCTTTGAGTCACATATTTATCTGATTTAAAAACAGTGTTCGTCACCCCGGGTTGGAAATTAAAATTTGTGAACCCACTTATCACTCTGTCAATGTTAGCAATGGATAAGATAAGATGAACAAACGATGCTGCTTTTCTGAAAGATAAAAATACTTCCGGATCATCTTTAAACATCTGTAATCTAACTGAAATGATTCTCCATATTTCCGCATTATTTGTGTTTTGTTTCTTTTTTTTGGTAAACTCGTGGTAAGTCATAATCTGAAATAATAAGGAAAATTGACTGCAGAAACCATAATTCTCTTCACCTTATGCCACACAGCAAAACTTTTGCTTTTCATTTCTTTACAATTTCCCCATAATCATTTTGCCCATTTCGGATTAACACAATTCAATACTATATTTGTAAGTCGCGCGTAATTAATTACCTCTTTTTTCAGGGCCAAGTCCTTGGTCCATCATGGCATGATGAATGACGCTTCCTAGGATATTAAGTAGACGCCTCCGTGGTGTAGGTAAGTTAACTAAATTGATTTGAGAACGTTGCGAAGGTCAATACCGTTGTAAACTACATGACTAATAATCATCAAGTAAAATTTTGTGGAATAAAAACAAGCCACAGTAGGAAATCTACTTTGTGTTACAGTTTCACATTTCAAGTCTATAAACCAAGGTTGATTAAATTATTATTCTTAAAACCCTCCGGGCAAAATTACGGCAAGGACTTTCTTATTATTGTACAGTTCTTTGAAGTCATTACGTAAATAAATCTTATATTTAGTTTAATCATAGACATAAAACTGTATATAAATTATTGATTTGTTAATAGCGTTTTATTACGATTAGTGTATATTTTATTGTAAGCGAAGCTTAATTTAATGTTATTGGTCAATTGCCTTAATTCACTGTTGGTAAAAAAAACTTGTTGACGGCAGAATCCAAGTAGAAAATTGACGTAGTATAGTATTTCCCCTCAGGTGGAATCGGTTAAACGTGAAGTTCGATCTAATTGTACCAATTTTATTTCAGGTTATGAGATGAGATAAACCAACGCGAAACGGTTCGAATGTAAATCAATTAGCTTTATTTATGACACAAAGGAATTAACTGTAGTAATACACGCAAAAGGGAAGCCATATTTTTTTCAAAAAAAGGTGCAAAGTTGATAAATTCAGGGCAAAATCGTACCATAAGAGGTGGGGTGAATTAACTTCTTTACGCGTTATCTGGGATTCATATAAGGGTTAATTGAACCCACGCTTCGCAAACCGTGCAATTAGGGACACTGCATGGGTTAAAAATAAGGGGTTTTGAAACGGAAGTTACATATGTTCTACTTTAGTTTAAGAGTTTTGCTTATGTAAAACAGAAAACCTGAATTATTAACGTTCTAAAATAAAATTTGAATAGGCCTTTCCCTACTTACTTTCTTTGATGACAAACAGATTTACTGTATATAAATTTATTTCCGCTAGGCGGTTATTCTATTTTTCCCGCTAATTATTCATTTTTTCTTTGGAAGATATATATGTTAATTACAGACCATAGTGTGAATTTTCTAACAATGCGTCATATACGGATCTCACCGCAAATCAAATAATTTCCTTGTTGATGAATTGTAAAACGCAGTTAACATTAGTCGATCATTAATATCGCCATTTGCTCACAATGATTCTTCCTACAAAAGCAAGGAACAAAAACGTTATCACTCATAGAGGTATGTCTTGATCTCAGTTTAATGGTGTATTCTTTAAAACGCGTTTTTTTGGAATTTTCTACATTTTCGTCAGTTGATTTATTCTTAAAAATTAATACACCTTCAAACCAGGGATGCAATCGCAGTAGTAAACACAATTGGAGAAAGATACATAGAAAGAGGACGAACTGTAAGTCTGTGCAGTACATCTGAAAAAGGATTGTGCGAAATACAAAAAACTGGTACAAGGGTTCTTCTTTTCTGCGCCACATTTAGAATGATGGAAGTAACAAGTTTACGATGTTGCAAGATATTTTCCAAAATTTTGTCGTAATTGCCAATGGCAAATTTAATGTAGACTTAAGACAGTTTTTTAAAATATAACTCTCTAGTTCTAGAAGTTCCTTGAATAGCAGAGTAATTTTTAATACTTTCGTATAATCTAGATCAATTCGTTCCACCCTCGCATTACGCATACAATTAAAGGCGAAATGCAATTTTTGGGATATTTGCAGCTATGAATCGGTCACCATTTTGGTTTGTGCGACGGTGGTCATCGTAACTTTCGACGTGCATATTCACGGTCCTCATCTACAAAACCTATGGATACGACATCTCGCAGACTCTTTGAATAAGTAGAAAATGATCTTTTGACTTGTCCCTGATTTTGGTTTGTGTGAGACACGAGACCTACACCTAAACAATAAATTCATCACTTCCTTCAGATAGTTTACATCAAGTAATTACAATTGAAATTACCTACTATTTGTATTTCATTTGCACTAAGAGTATTCTCATTAACGTCTACGACCCACTTAATTTATGTGAATCCAATTAGTATTGTTCGTTTTGTTTGGTAATAAAACTGACTTTGAATTTCTCACTATACATTTTACCGAAAGAAACGAGGAAACTATTTATTACTTTTGTTCGGGATTGAGTAATGCCGTTGACTTTAACATGTCTAATTGCTCGAACGCACTAAATTAAACAGAACTTATGTAAACTACAGTTCGAGGTCTAATAATAAAACAAGATACGAAGTATCGCATACGATTTTCAGTAGGGGAATTTTTTACCACTCACATCGTATTCGGAAACCAGACTTTTATAATCCGGCTCATTTCCAATTGAACTCCTAAAAATCGATTGGTGAAGGTTTGACATCTTTTCATTAGATCATTAGATGTATCAATAAATGTAAAAAATGTGTAAACGCCAAATCTTGAGGGCGCGAGTGCTTTTTTTGGGTTTTCCGCGCTACAGCTAAATTTAGAGCTTCATAAAAAGGAAACCACCGAACCAAATCAATTTTAGTACGTTGCTAATTGAATGTTCCCTAACAGGCGTTCTGAATTTTAATTACTTTATTGAGACTGCCACAGTTTCTTTTATAAAACATCGTGATTTCCGAAATGCCGCACAAACATTTAACTTGCACGACTATCTGCACTTTAACAATGAGATTAACAACATTTGAAAAATCATCAATGCGGTTTTTTTTTCTAAAGCAAATGTTTAAATTAAATTTTAACACAGTGTCTGGATCAATTCGTAGTACCTAATTCTTTCGGCAGAATTGAGTAGAGAATGTATTGGCTCCTACGACTTTAACTGAAGCAACGGAGCGATTCCATTAAATTAAAAATTATATTACAAAGCGCACTAAAAATACTCCTAAAAATTGCATCTTGTGATGGATATCTGTGCCTCGTCTAAGTCGAAAACGAAAAGAAACAGTAAGAGACAGACCTTCGCCAATCCATTTCTACAAGTTCAAGGACCATGAGTAGTACTCTCAAATTTTTAAATGTACGCCAATACTGTAATTTACATAATTCCTCCGGTCATGAAAATACGAAACAATTATACTTGAAGTTTTGAAAATGGAAGTATACCTAGAGTACATACAAGATAAACTACTGCTGATTTCCATGATTCTCCAATCTCGGAACAAAAGCTTCTAAGAGCATTCTCTTCAAATTCTAACACACACTTTAAATGTTTAAAAGGTATAAGTGGTAATATTTATAACCAAACATTCAAAATTTGTAAGATACCAAACCAAACCTGATGCTTACAATGGTGTAACTTTCTACCAAACAATCTGTGGACTGTATATAACAATTTGCAATTGGAGGAAAACTTTTACTTTGGATGTTGAGGTTTGGGTCTAATTGCACCGTACTAAGGGAAAAGTTGTTAGCATTCTACAATTGTATGACACTCTGAAACTCAGTTTTAACCGTCGGGTGTGTATAACAATGTCTTAGGAATTGGCAACCTTGAAGGCTTTTAGATTTTCAGAATTTTGCAAGACGTAAAGAAGCTGACAACATTAACAACACTCGGGAAGTTTCGATATCTGAAAACAACCATTTTTTTAACATATAAAATCACTACATATTGAACGATTCAAATATGAAGATAGTTTTTGTTTTCGAGTTTATTTATTGCTGACAGGTCGTTCGTACTGTAAGAACACCGGTAATGAATCGTGTTGGTGTGTACAGTCAACTACAAGACAAGCTTTTCCTTTTACAACGAACTCACCACAATTGTCTCACTCACTTGCATCTTTAAATACCGGAATATTATTTATTTTAAACAAATCTCGTCTCCATGTTTGACCATTTAAGGAGAATGCATATCACGCCGATCTGAACTTTCTTAAAATGCATAAGAAGGAATTTCAAAGATTGTAGCGATTTTCAATAATAATGCGGCAAGAGTGGCTGCTTTTTGCTACGCGTTCGACGTGGACAGTCATTGTCAATGCTAGGAATTTCCCATTTACATGATAAAGTGATGTGGGAATCTGGGAAACTGCATAATTAGATAACAGTATTTTCCTATACACTACAACCACTTTTTTACACTGCCATTAAAGTCTTAACCACACATCACGTCTATACGACATGTAGAATTGGTACGTAAATCTAATACAACGGTATATACCATAATTTATTAGCGAATTAGATAATTTGACTAATTAGGTCTATTTTTATAGCCCGAACGGTAATTGTAAGTCAGTCATATAATTTTTAAATTGCACAATATGGACGTCCTAATTATGGTCGCGATATTGCTGCACGTTATACAAGGTACTGCACATCTTTTTAACGGTAGCTTTGTAAGCATATGATTTTCAAAGCACTACTAAATTGTATGAAATACTGCAGACCGTAAGTGGTCGTATCGTAAATCAAAGTCATACATTTTTTTCCGATGAAAAAGCTTGTTTTTAGTGTCATTATTTATACTGAATGCGTTTGGGACATTTATTGTAAGATTATTATTGCGAATTTTTTGGCATAACTACACGCAGGTAGAATTTGCTTCCTAATTAGCAAAAGACAATTTGCAGAAGACATTCGCTAGAGTCTATTAAAATATCTATAAGAATATTTATTAGTAACTTAGCACATTAACGAGTAACGACTAAAAGCAACGTGTATGCAATAACATTAAATTAAAAGGCTTTAAAATTTTTGAGCACAAGGCTCATTAAACTTATTTAATTTGCATATCGACTTGGACTGCTTCCTCTATAATACAAAAGTATTATCTATTGGTATATTATAACCCCAACTTTAAAGTTCATACTGATACGTATTTCAAAATATTGTTCTCGCCACAATTTAAAATATTTATATTTTATACGTTATAATTCGACTTTTTTCGTCTTATTATACATTTTGGAAATTGACAGCGTATTAGCGTATCAATTTCCTAGATCAAAATTTTAAAAATATATCTCGAAGAGGAAAAAAGCAAATGCTTTTTCCCATAAGAACATTACCCATGGTTATTTGACTATTATC